TTTGAGAATCGCTATTTGATATTAAACCTCCTTTCCTATTATTTAACAACCGTTCGTCACTCCGGGCCAAGATCAAAACACTTTTTGGAATTGCTTCTCTGGTTTGAGAACCTGTAACTGCATAGAGACAGTATTAAAATCCCTTAAAAGCTGTTCAGTCGTATCTAATAGGTATCCTTACCATTAGCCGACTTACACACGAATACATTTCATAACCGCTAAGAAAATCAAGTCTGACTGAGCAGGCAACATTCCCCATTTAAAGCATTTTACTCGCATATAGTGGGAGGTCTTCGCTACTGCTCTACAGTGAGCATCCGCTACAATTTGCTATCCAATTTGTACTATGTCACCTCTCCAGGCTTCGGTTAAGTGTTGCCAGTAGTTTGATGTTTGCGCTTAATCCGATCTCATCACGTCATCTATTAACGAAGTTAGTTACACATTCACCCCATTTTAGCACTGCTGTATTGTCAGCGATAACTCTGTGCACACTAATCACACAGATCATATTGATCCTCATTGAGATGAAATTCTTCTGCAACCTTGGACCTCTGCGCTTAAGTGACCTTTTGACATTTTCCATTAAGTCATTGTCTGACACGTTATTCGCACTGTTTCCCTCACTTCTGACAACTTGGTGCTTTTCTTTATCCATAACGTGGAAATTTTTGAGTTTTGTGCTTGGTGCGTTTTTGGTGTTTTTTTGTTTAATTTGTAACCTGTAAAACTTAAAAAAAAAAAATGTTGTTAAATTTATAGCAATTGTAACTTTTGAAAGCAACTTTACAAAAATGGAAACAAAATCATGACACAATGACAATCATAAGCGAGAACGTCCACAAAACAAGTGGCAGCACTTGCAATCATGACATGACAGAATTGCATTCGGTAATTCACCATTGCCTGACAAATGTCGACTGCTATGAGAAAAAGCTTCCGGTTGCTGGCACCAGGAAACTAGCCCAGAACCTATTGAGGGGTGGTGCGCCTTCAAACTATTTGGCCGCCACAAAGTGCGAAAAATCACGTTTTATCAAAAAAGCTGCTCATATCTCAAGCCTTTAATTTTGGGCTGAATTTGTTAGATTTTTCACAGTAAAATAAATAACGAACCTTTAAAAAAAAGAATTATCAAAATAGGGTTAGATTTGAAGAGTAGATGCATTTTGTGAGACAAAAAGATTTTTTCCCACTGTGTGCCGGTGGATAATACGCTGCAATAAGGCATACATATTAAAAAGGGAATATCAAATTTCCTTAAGTTTCAGATTTCAAGAAAAATTTAACATTTACATAGGTAAACCGTCAGGAAAAAATTTATAAATTTTGCTTAAATTTAAGCAACGCTGGACACAGCTGCAGATTAGAAAATAAGAACAAGAATGTTAACTTCGCTTGGACCTGAATATTTTAGTTTAATCCTCTTTCTGGAAAGTTTTTTCGAAAGTTCGAAGAATTATCTCTCCTTGTTTCCGGACTGGTTATAGCACTCAACACCTTGCCTTGGGTAACTGATTCTGCTGGTGTTGGCTAGATATTTCTGACAATGATTATTTTCCACCACCAGGACAAGCTCTGGCAAGCGACGGCGATATAATGGTGAACTATCTGTGCCTGTCCAGAATAGAGAAGTATTTCCGGCTATGTAGTCTGTTTTTAAAATTCTGACACCTTTTATTTCAGCTTTTTGTTGTACATCTATGTTTTTTTTTTTTTATTTGGCTCGACATTCAGTTTTAGTACTTACCCTGCAATGTTGAATGAAAATAAGTTTTTTGTTTACTGACGAAATAAACGCATAATTCTTTATTAAAACATTGTTCCGCAACAATGCCGATTGCTACTTTGCGTTTCAAGTTGCACCTAAAAAGTGCATAGGGTATAGCTGCAGTTAAATAATATTTATTTATTGCAATTTGCTGCTGTTAGTGGGCTGCAATAAGATAATCCATTGAACTTTCAGCATTTCAAGTAGTTTTGCTATCGAGCTTCAGATTTGCATAAGACACGTTTATCATACCCACGTATGAGGTTTAATGTTCTGTATGTGAATATAAGCATACATACATACTTACATATACATAACCATAATTATTATTAATATATTATCTGTTCAATAGATAAATCCACTCGCCCTCATAATCGTATAGACTTTCTTTCATTTCCTGTTATTGCATAAAATTGTTTGACCAACAAAACGCAATCGATTTTGCAGTTAATTTCAATCTGGCCTTCTTGGCTTATATAGATATACATATGTATGAATTTTCTTCTTCCGTTAAAAGCCATGAGTCGAACTCCTGTACTAAAAAAATTACTAACTCGTAAATATTTATTCTTATTGAAAATACTTATGAAACTCAAAAATTTCAATTTACGAATAATTTGCATTTAAATACTTACGTACATATATGTATATGTATGTCCGTTCTGATGAAATATAACCGCATTTTTTATAACCAGCTACAAGCTGGCTGTAAGCGCTTAAGTAAACGTCTTCCAAACCCCTTTATTGAGGATTGTTTGGCTTAACAGAACTCCAAGAGTGTTAAGATTTTAGCAATTTCCCTTTTGCGGCAATATCGATCTTTGTTCAGGAGCATAATGTTAAAAGCAGTGTTGGCAAAATGTTAATCTGATTAACGATTAAAATGTTAATCGACATTAACGATTAAAATTAATTAACCGTAATCATCCGTACGATTAATGATTACATTTTTTTAATCGCTTATCGTCGGTTGTAATTACGATTAATTAATTTTATTCAGTAATCGTTAATCCCATTTAAAAAAAATCTGATTAAGTGGTCTAGTTTGTCCGAATTTGAAACCAAATACGGGTTATGGTTATTTTTTTTGTGTTTCAAGCTTATAAAAAATGAATAATATATAAAAAATAATAATTATTATTATTAGTAATATATAAACTGGGAATTTTTATAACCCATTGCAGAAGGATATTAAAACCTAGTTTACTTAGCGTCTGTTAAAATAGATCTTAATGAAAATGCACACCAAATTTATGAGGAAAACCGACTTTGCCATACCCGATTAAAAGGGCTTGTGTGTACAGTAAAATCCCAGCATAAATTTTTTAATCACCAAACCTACTTAATCAAATTAAATTAAGAGTTAATGATTTAAAAATTGATTTTGTTTTTTAATCGCGGTTACGATTAACTTTTTTAATCAGATTAAAGTTAATCATGATTAAGTGTAATCGGATGGAATTTAATTGAATTAACCAATAGATTAAAAAATCAATCGATTAGTGCCAACACTGGTTAAAATACATGCATATGCATGTAAGTGTGTAAACGTACATTAACGTATGTATAATATGTACACATCTATGTATGTACACTTGTATGTACATACAATTGCCCTGATGCTCATCTGCGAAAACGATCAATGATCGCGATGATTGTGACCTTAAGCGGCGTAATTTATTTGTCACTCAAGCGTAAAGTGCGATCAATAAATTGTTTTCTATTTTTCTCCACGCTGTGTTTGGGGTATTTTGCAATGCATTTATGTATTTTTTACGTTTTTATCGAACGCCCAATGTACATATTCGCGAACATTTTTCTAGCGCTTTGTCAGGTTTGAAAGCTATTAGCTTCATGCTGTTGTTGTGATCTTATTTTCCATTTCCAATTTTGTTTACTTATTTATTTCACTTCGCCATATACGTTCTTAACATTCTCACAATTAGTTGGTTTTAAGGTGTGTATGTATGTGCATGTGTGTGTGGGTTTGTAGAAGTTGTTCGCGAGCGCGCGCGCGCGCTTATTTCCAAATATGTGTCGGTTACGTTGCTGGCGCGCCCACCTACGCGTATACGCGACTTAATTTAAAGCAATTCAAGTTGAAGGCACAATTTGCAAATAAAATAAATTTAATGAAAATTGTATACACACACACACACTTATATATTTAAACAACGCCTCTTATTTTAATATTTGTTGTTATTTGTTAAGTTTGTGTTTTTTGTTTTCATAAATAATTCCCTAGTTGCGAGCTTTTTTTTGTAAAAAATTGCCATAATATATTTATTTGAAGCGTAATTTTACGAACTTGTAAATATTTTATTATAATCAGATTTTTTAATTCCTGTTTTGGGGAGACAATATAATAATAATATAATAATATTTAAACATTAAGTGTTGATTGTATTTACAACAAGTTTTCGGCACCAAATTTAGGCAGTCAATATAAGATTTTTCAGAATTTGGGTATGCAGTTTAATTCTAGTTTAATTTAATTCTAGTTTAATAAAGTACAAGCTTTAGGTTCTAAAAATCATCGAATATACTTTGTATGGAAGAAAATGCGTTAAAAAATATCCAAAAAAAACCCAATATATTAGCAACTTATGACTTGCACTTATACTAGAATTTAATGGGCTACAAAACTGCATACTCATAAAAATTCTGAAATTGAAAATTTTGAAGACATCTAAAATATTTCTTAGTCAACAATAAATTTTGACAATAAATTTGAATTCCTCGGTCGAAAAGTCCATCAAAAACCATTTTTTTTTTTGTTGGAGCTAGCCAGCAACGTATTCATTATTTTTCGAAGGTTCAGTTTTCAACCAAACTTTTTGGGGGTTTAATATAAAGATTATATAATGGCACTATTTTTTCCTTCTAGGCCATTATATCAGCTTTTTGATCCACATTTTGCCATATTCCTATCGAGAGATTTACTATTTTTTCCATCGACACTCCCAAAGCGCACACTTTGCGCCCGCACAATTAACAAATCATCTGCAACAATGATTCCTTGTTATTGTTTAAAATTCATCACTTCTCATTTTTATGTCTAAAATATTTAATCGATTTCGAACTTTGCGTGACTCGTTTAATCCGTATCCGCCCGAATAGGGGGTCATTCCCGCTTTCGAAGATCTGCATGCTATACATTTTCTCTTACTAAATGAACCTTTCTAGGATTTTCAATAAAAGTACTATTAAAAATTTCACATTTCTGTAACATTTATTTTATTTAACTATGGTAGTTTCATTATGATTAGCAAAAGTTGTGTTAATTACAAAAAAGTCCAGAAATTGCAAGTAAATCAGTGATTGCATTTTTCTGGTGATTTACAACAGAAATTCAAAGTGCGATTTAAGTCGAAAGAAAACTTGAAAGTAGAAAAGCATAAAGTGCACTCCACACTTTAGTGTAGTGCACTAATTCATAACACATGCAGACATATGTATATATGTATATGAACGAGCATTCAAAAATAAAAATACAAACAACAGCATACGCTTTAAGTTTCTTGGCAAATTCTGTGTTAAAAAAAAAACACACACACACAAATACATATAAATACCCAATGCGTATGCCAATGTTAACTAAAAATATGTATAGCAAAAAAAAAATTTTATATCCTCTTCGCTTTGCTCTAATGCTTATCAGTTCTTAATGCTCAGATACGGCAGTCCGACTTGACGCACATAAACACTCCGTTCAGTTTGCACTGGTGGTGGGCATTTGACGGTGAGAATGCCATCGGTGGAGAGTTCGGAGCGCACATCATTGGGATAGAAGCCACGTGGCAGGACAAAACGCTTGACTATGTGCCGGCCAACATAGTTGTCACCATCACGCCGCTTCTCATGTTTCGCTTCCACCACCACCAAGTCGCCCACTGTCTTCACTTGAATTTCGTAAGGCTTGAAAGGATGCACATCCACATTCGCCTCGAAGCCATCTTTGCCAACAATCACACGACTCAGATCGGGCGATGAGTTAAAGCGGGCCAAACGCTTCCAGTATGGCAAGTCCCAGTCGGCTAGATCCAAATCACGCCACAGGCGTCGGCGATAATCCCAATAATCCCAATCGGTCAGCGTATTAGACGATGGAACTACAGCCATTGCGGAGACAAGACTAGGCAAAAGTGTTTTTTAGATATTTTCCTTCACAAAGGCACCCAAGGAAAGGCGTTGTTTTTTAATTTACTTTTTTTTTGGTTTTGTTCGTTAAATCGCTTGTGCGCACAGATGTTTTTTTTTTTTTAATTTTCAATAATTTTTTCTAGATTCCTCTTCGATGAACTTTCTTTTTCTTTCTATACAAGAAATAAATAGTTCTCGAATTGAGCTCCACACCTTTTACTGGCTTTGATTTTTTTTTTGTCGAACGCGTTTGCTCACTCCCGGGGATACGGTTGAAAACGTCCGAACACGATTTCCGCGCTGTGCAAATAAACTCGGATTAGGTTGGGCGCCAGCTTTTTATAGACGTGCCAATGTTTGTGTGTGTGTGTGTGTGTGTAATGGTTGCCGCCGGTGTGGAGCTTTGCTGCCAATGCTCACATGTTTCAATATTAGCGGCGCATGTTTGAATATCACTTCGGTATTGTTAGTTCGATTCCTAATTCAATGGCGATTAAAGCTGCGCAAATTACTTCGTTTAAACACTGTTGTTGCTCCGACGACTTTTGTTGCTGCTGCTGTTGCTTGGGTTCCCCGAACCAAAATTGTAAATTTATTATTTGTTTTATTTATAATTGCACAAGTACGTGACGCACTTTTCCCGCATCTTCGCTCCAGCTTCCGTTGGGAGACATGTTCAGTGGGAAATAAATTTCAACTTTTTCTCAAAACTAATATAGAGCATTAACTGAATTACAAATAGTGGCTTTTGTACGGCGATAGTGGACTTTACTTATCAATCGAATACATACTCAGCCCAAAGTGTTTGCAAGAGTTACTATCCACCCAAAGTAGGTTCTGATGTTTGCAGAAAAAAACTGGCTAGGTGGCGCTGGTGCACAAAATATTTCCATTAACTCAAAGAGGTCTAAATTGCAAACTTTATACCGAGCCTCGAAATAGACATCTTAAAAGGATGTGCCCGTCTACCCTCATCAACTTTAGTTTCGCACTACTGACTTACTTTCTTCAGGCTGAGATCCACACAATAAACATGGTTGTATGTATATTGAGCTATTCTTAGGCCTATTACAGATTTGATCACAGCTTCGCTACGATGAAGGTGCTTACATCATGCCTACTAGCTTTTCAGTCAGCTTCCAATTCATTAGGAGCCAAGTTCAAGCTAACAAGCCTCAGTGGCATTCCTGCTTTCGTAAGTTGAGCAGGTGGAAAGATCTGTACTAGGGATTTTGCGAATGTGGAATTTTAGTCATCCGCGAATGCGAATGCGAATAGCTTAAAGGCATCGAGATAGATATTGCCATGTTATTTTTTTTAATAGTTCAGGATAGACGAAAAATCTAGCTATATAGACTAAAATGCCGTAACTGTCTGTCCACCCGTATATCCGTGCGTGGACACGATAACTCGAGTAAAATATAAGATCTCTCAACGACTGCCCTTTATCCAAAGAATGTATGAAAATACGTTGGGTGCAAAAATACTAAATAAGCTGAATAAAAAACCAAACATTAAACTGTACTGAAATTTGGTTGTGTTTTGCGAGCATATTTGCAGCAATGTTTTAGTGCTTATCTAAGCACCTAAAATGGATTTTTTCTTGCTTATTTTCTTCGGCCCTGGTCATCATATACTTACGTACGTATTAAATATGTACATATCTATGATATGTGAGATTTCAGAAAATTCACACATCCATAAATATACTCGTAAAACAAAAAAAAATCATTTACAAGGAAATATAAGGGATGAATTGAATATTTAAATCCTCCTCTTAGCTAAATTCCAAAAATAACGGAAGTATAAACTTTCAAACAATACCGAACTGGAAGCTGCATATGTGTACCTATACCTACGTAAATATTTTCAACAATAAATTCAAAATAAAATGTTTTGTATGCTCTGGAGTATGATTGCCTATTGTTTGTATTAAAACAAAAGCTCTCACTGCCAGATTCAAAATCAATTTGCCCATTGTACAAATATAGACAATCAGTTACAAGCCACTTATGCGCACAAATACTCATATGAGCCAGTGGCGGATCGTGAGCTCAATAAGAATGAAAAATTTTGCACGCCCAAGTACGATAGACATTTTATTTTAATATATTATATATTGTTTATAAATGAATTATATTTTTATAAATCATATGTTTTGAGTCATATGTTTTTGAGAAAAATGCACCGTAGTAATTTGAGAATTCCAAAATTACATTTCTCGACTGAAAAAAAGATATAAGTATTTACGAGCTAACTCGACGGCACACAGTGTGCATGTTTTTAGCACTCCATGCGAATTAATCTTCCGACAGAAGTAACATTTTGAAAATATTGCCATTGAGTCACAATCACTCCTTGACCTTAAACAATTGATCAAAAATTGTGTTCTTCGAAAAAAAAACATGCAAAATCCAACGGATTTATTCCAAAAAAACATTTTGGTATATTTTATTATACCAATGTTATAGATTTTGAGACGAGAAACTGCTTAAAAAACGCAAAAGAAATTATCCCTCAATTTGAAAAATGCATTATATATTGGCCCCCCATAGATCCGCTCCTGTATGAGCACACACATACTGCCACTATATATATAAGTATGTAAAAATTAAGATATGCTGATGGACTTGTGTATCCGTACATTTGTTTACATTTATGCATTTACTTACATATGTATGTGTGTGTGTGTGTGCGAAGTGACTTGATTAAATATGCATATGGAGCAGTTATGTATGTACATACATATGTATATTGTATGTATACTTTGTAGTGATTTGTTGTTTGCCATTTAGCTATATCATTTTTATGTTAATTATTTTTTTTAACGATCTCGTTTTGCACTCTCATTTCACTAAACACACTCAGTAGCGTTTGTCAATAACCATCCAGGGCAACATTTCATTTATAGAACTGACCCGCCCACCGAAATGTTGTGACGACACTTGTCAGCTGTATTGTTGTTGGGGTGGTAGTACATATTGGGGCTTGTCATTGCCGTTTTTGATTTGCCGATGAAATATCTTTCATTGTAATTACTTTTCATATTACGTTTTAACCTTTCTAAAATTTTTTTTATTATTTAGCTTAGCATCTTCCTTAAAAGAATTTAAGAATTTTACTAAAATTGGATATTTCAAAGGCAGTAGCTTGTGTGCGACTTGCACGCGCAAAAATTCTTAAGTTTGAAATATAAAAACTATAGCAAATATTTTTTAGTTTTAGATGGCTAGACAATCGCACATACATAGATACTCGTCCAAAATCGCTTTAGCAGTTACAGCGCCAAATAAAAAGAAGAAGAATAAAGAGAAGACACTGGTAGTATTTAACCGAAAATTTACGAGGGAAATTCATCTTCAATTTGAAATCGCCTTAAAACTGTTGAGTAGTTTTCCGATGCATACATATGCATACAACTTAAGGCTTTTTGTTAGGCTTAACATTGAACATTTAGTGTATGTATGTATGTATGTAGATATGTTTGTATTAAACACAAGACTTATTTTAGAATGTTCATGAATGAAAAATTATGCTTTATAGAATATTTTCACGTTACCTAAATAAATACAAGTATCTAATTAGTTTTTCTTTTCCGAAGTATATCTGTCCAATTCCTTTTAGTACTGTAGAGCTTTCCGCTAAATTCATTGACTGAGAGCACGCAAAAATATCACAACTTTATTAGAAACTTATAATACAAATCGCATTCTGTATAAAAAGGCATGTAGGCTTTAGCTAAAACAAAAAAAAAACAAGAAAAATATGTAATTTACCACGACCATAAACAACTTTCTTTGTCGCCCACATATAATTGAGCACATTGCATTAGAAAATACCGAGCAGGAAATTTGTTCATTCTAATTTTTCAACTCAATAATTGGCGATGCAGTATAAATATGTACATACATAATTATTTATCAATTTTGTATCTATGTTCACATTTTGTCTTAATCTGGAACCAACCTGAGTTACTTGATAGTAGCCATGGGTAATAGCGCAATTTTTTTGACGCTAGCTCAATAATGCCAGCGCCACCTGTGGTGTCAGCGCACTAACTCAGCGCAATAGCGCAGTGTAATGCATTGAACACGGCGCCATCTGAGTGTCACCACAGTGCCTATCGTCATACAGTGTAGTACACCATACAGTGGAGTCATATCTATTATTTCTATAATTTTTGGCGCTGAGCAACGCTTGTACCGCCAACCGAATTTAATTGCTAGGAATATAGTAAATGCCACGATATTCTCATCATTCTTGAGTAAAGGCTTTAAATTTTGCGTTCTAAACGCTCAAAAGCAAAACCAAAGTACGTGTAAATTTTCAAAGAGTTAAGGCGAATTGTGTAAGTGCCTCATGTGTTGCTTGGTGTTAATGGCGCTGGCGCTTTCCATATACTGGTGTTGGCGCTTTCCATGTACTGGTGTTGGCGCAGCAACTCCGGCTACGGTGTTAGCGCAATTGCGCCTTTTCATATCGGACACCAAATTTGGTGCCACACTTTCGATTGGCTTCAAATTTTGGGCTCTATACGGGAAAAAGGCTAACATGTATTCCAGAAATATATTCCTCTTTTTTTCTGTCAAAGTTTGGATTTTTTCGTCATTCTGACTAATCAGGTACTTCTTCAAATCCTTATATCTCAGGTTCTGCTCATCGTAGAGACTTCACCTGAAAATACTTTTTATGGAAAATTTTCTTTAAGGCAACACACCCCTAGAAAGGGGCGTCGCAATTTTAGGACTCAAGTTAACTAAACGCAGATATTATTGCGGATTTCGGCAGAGTATCCCTTCGTTTTCTGCTACTGTTTAAATCAAAGGACCTTCTAGAAATGGGGGTGTAAATTTTAAGACCAAATTTCAAATATTTAGATTTTATTTTGGATTTCGGCAGAATATCTTTATTGCGAAACAAATGTTATTAACGAACGGGTATTCTGCCGAAATTCGCAAAGAATTCTGTGTATGCTGCGAATGCCGCATTATACTAAAGCCAGCCTTTCGACATAAGCTACTAACTATTCCATACGACCACAGATTTATTCCTAGAAACAAAAATCTTTACATACAAATATTATTTCTGGATATTTAGTCTCTCGGAACCCGCAATAAAATTTACATTTTTGCAAAAACACGATTTTTAAGACCTTGCTAAATGTTCTCATCCTAAGCTTTCGAAAACAAATTACAAAAAATGTTACGCTTTCACAAAACAAACCATTTCCTCACAAAAAAACAAATATATTTTAAAGCGATCTCTTTAAAAACCCAAATTTTTTTAAAACAT